TTCAACAACATGTGGTTTTAATATTTTAATTGTTACAAACTGTTTAATAATGTTGAACAAAAGGCGTGTCCAAGCAATTATTGTGTTTATTAACTTTTCTTTTGAGAACTTGATAAATTATATTACACATATACAGCACTTCAGATATTGCAGCATTACCTTATTTTGTTTAAAAGTGGCAAGTTAGCCAAAAGTGACTAGTTTTGGTGCAGGTTAAATAGTGTATTTTCAGTAGATGAGCACTGTGCATCACTTCATCCAGCAATCTGGGAGTCCATGCGTTCTTCTAATCATTACACTGTTTCATCTAGCCAGGGAATTGAAAGAGGGTGGGAGCAATGAAGCTCACCGAACCTGGCAGGACACAGAAAGCCATGGTTCTGCTGAATGTGAAGGAGAAATAGAGCCTTGAATGCTCATCGCCCTACCACCACGCACCCGATGGACCTCCCCACTCGGAGCCACAGGGACAGCGCCCACAAGGCCATTCCCAAGCCCCCAACACCTCCCTTGAGGACAGCCATCGCCATGCCCCATACACAGCCCATGTGTGGGTCTCCCCACGCGGGGGCCAGATCTGACCCTCTGCCACCCCCCCATCCCCATCCCTCGGATGTACCACGCTGTTCCCAGGCTTATTTTGTTTACATTTGATTCAATCAAGTTGTGGCCTTTTGGCCTCCTTCCAAATTAACTTCTAGATGACCTCTGCCGTGCCCTCTCCCAGCAGCCAGGCCTCCGAGAAACAGGCCATTAAACCCACAAACAAATATCAGATATATTGGTTGATCAAACCAGCTTCAAACACAGCTATTTAACCTCTGGCACATGCTTTTGCAAACTAAGTATATTTCGTCTTCAGCCATTCACCCCTCTTGGCTTACTTTTCTTTTTACCTTCCCCTCCATCTAGAGCTCCGTGCTTTACAGCCTCATAAAACTTGGAAATGTTGCTCTCATCCTCCCTTAAAGCCCACGAAGAGCAGCTCAGGGTCTGTTCACACGGCTCCCACTGCAGGACTGAGCCATGGATGTGAAGAGGCAGCAAGATCCTGCCCGGCCGTAACGCTCCCTGAAACCCTGTGCTCCCCTTATTTCCAAGGAAATAAATCAAAGTTGGTTTCTCAGGGGCTGTGAAAACATGCTGCCTGGATTCCGATCCCCAAAGGGTTTTTTGTTTTTTTTTTCAAGGGCTTATGTGGTAGTTAGATTTCTGGCTAGAGAATTTGCAATATGATAAAAACACAGTCCCTATATGGGGCAATAAATTACAGATTGTTTGATGTAGAAACCAAAGAACTGTCAGACTCTAGTATATTTGAAATATTCTAAATGAGCCCTTAACTCCAGTGTCTGGAAATGTACAATATGTTTCCAAGCCCTTCAGTCTTGAAAAGGCACATCTCTCTCACTTAATTTTCCTTTTATGGATTTTATTCTTCATTTTTAGTGAATTTCTTTCCCCCCTTCTCTTCTAAAACTGTGCTTTTCCTCCTAGAGATGGGCCTATGATAAACAATAGGATTCATCTAAGCATAGGAAGAGATCAGAAATAGGCAGAAGCTGAAACTTTGGGAGATGCTGCTCTGCCCCAGACTTCGTATGGGATGTTACTGCTCCATCTGCCCACCCGCACAACAGGAACAGCCACTGCCCCAGCTCATCATGCTGTTTTGCAGGTAACTGAAAGCTTAAGCCTTGCTCCCATCTATCAGCCTGTCCCCATGGTGGGGAGAAAATTGAGCAAACAGAGGAAATAACTCATTTGCACACTGCTTTTCACCTAGGAATGCTACTAAGTCACAAAAAATAGAGCAAGACCTCGTGCTGACAATGAATAACCTTTCCACTTCAATATATTCTCACGTGTGGGATGAGCGAAAACCCTTCTAGACAGAAACAGACCCCATTCACTCTGGGAAATAAAAGTTAGGAACTGCTTCCAACTCATTTTCCTGAAGGTGACCCTTGGCCTCCCAGCTGAGATAACAATGCTAATATTTATGGATGGGCCATTCGTGCCTCTGGGCACAGAGCAAAAATAACTCAAATCACAACTTGGTAGACCTCTAACAGAACTGAAGAGAAATCCTCACATCCAACACAGCCATAATAAACCATCTCGCCCACCAACGTGTGAAAAAAAATAGCACCACCCACAACCTCACATTCAAACCGAACAGAAATGGTCTGGAGTTACAATGTGATGAGTGGGCATCTAGTGTGACTCATCCAGAAGGAACCGACCTGAGGCTACACACTGCTCAGATGGCCAGGCTTCATTCGCTCATTCACGTTAGCATGATAAAAGGTGCTCAGACCACACTACTGCAAGCTGGCAAGCTTGTTGACTTCCTTTTCTCTCCAGGCTCGCTTTTCTGCGCTCTTTCCAGTCTCTGTGCATTTGGTTCTGGTGCAGGAACAACACTCGTTCCAAACTGGAGAAGTCTGAAGAGAATTGCTGCTGTCTGCCTGCACTTAACCAGATTCAGTTTGAGGAGATGTGAGCTAACGATTTCCTCAAGCAACACATTCACCAAACAAGTTCACCCAACTTCAGTTGGTGCCCCGCTGAAAAACACGCGTTATTTCAACGATGTGAGCAGCCTGAAGTTAACAAGAGCTACAACAACTGGCATGGCTCCTGTGTCCACCTGTATGGACTCAGGACCTGAACCTCCAGCACAACAGATGAGGAGGATTCCATAATATACCTGCAGCCACACGGGAATCCAGGTTAGAGCTCTGAGCACTGCGAACGCTCTTTTCTCTTAAGGGCTCTGGATATTTGAAAAACCTCAGAAACCACGGCCCATCGTGTTGGGTCAATGCATTGTTTCTCAGCCCTCCCAACCCTGGGAGCCCACACTGCTTCCCAGATCCGGAGCCAACACCTGAAAAACAACTGTAATTCATCCAGAGCTGCTCCTTCCACATTTCCTACTTCTTTGGTTTTCAAGATGTGTTCCAGATGTGAAGGAGATCACAAAACTTCTGTAGGCCAAGAAAATAAGTGTGGTGGTGAGCTCTGACACCCAAAATCCCAAATTTAAGTAACATCCACAGCATGATCCTTATGGTTCCCTTCCAACTCAAATTCTATGATTCCATGATTCTATGATACTTTACCAGCTTAAAAGCCACTTACCATCAATCCTCAGTACCAATAGCTACGATCATAAACAATTTTCACAGATCACTCTCCATTTTCTCCCTATTTCATTCTCGCTCTCAAACACAACTTCCAAAGGGATTGATTTCTTCCAACTCTTACAATTCCTGCTGCTCAAAGCAAAACAATTCATCCACTCCTCACAACACCACAACTTTCCATCCTGATACTACAAGCAAGCAAGAGAAAGTCCCATAAGAGCCCAGGAGCTGCCCATGTTCACCCACTTACCCCTATTTTTCTTAGGACAGGGCTGCACACAGCTGTACCCAGCCGAGCTGTGTTTACCCAGGGTCTCTCATTCCACAAATCTCAGCTCCTTGGCAGCCTGAACTGCTCAGCAAAGACCTAACTTGACCTAATCTGGCAGCCAGCATTTCACAACTACTTTATGTCAGCAGTTTCAAGTACACTAATAACCATGTTTTGTTCGGTGCGACTTTCTCACTGCAAACGGCAAAATATCATTATCACCTGCAGGTTGAAGCCTGCCCTCTACCCCATTTAATAGGGAGCTGATTATGCTATTTTCACCTCCCCCCCCTTCCCTTAATAATTACATGCTGTTGGCAGATGGCACAGCTCCACACATGAAGGCAGCATGGCTGCATTGCCACCACCGTGTGCCGGGACCTCAAGCACCCCATTCCCAGACAGTGGCTAACGAGGCGTGCTGCCATCGCAGGGCTCTGAGCATGAGCTGCTGTCACAACAGTCCCTGACGGCTGTGGGAGCAGGAAAGCAGAGGTTAGCAGAAAAGTCGCTACGCCAGCAACTTCAGGCAGCTCAGCCCTCCCAGCCCACCGGCCTCCGGTGCTTCTGGGCTGAACCCCAGGAAGCTGCCGCTGCCAAAAGCATCATGCCAGGGCCATCGTGGGCAACGTCCTCACCAGGAAAACTCTCCTGGGGGAGAGTGGGAAGCTCAGCTGTGTTGGAAGACAGCATTCCTACCCGAGTGTTTGCCTAGCTGTTCCCAGAGAGCATAGAGGTCCAAGCTGTCAGCCTGTAGGGTCCCCTCTGAGAGCGATACAGTGACACAGGCTGCAGAGCCAGACCCCTGTCTAGTGAGCATGGTGAAGGCAGGGCTGTCTCCAGGCAATGCTGTAGGAGAGCTTTGGGAAGCTAAACTCTCTCCCCAAAGCACTATGGAGAAGGAAATTTCCTCTGCAGAGCTCTCGCCCTTCACCACCTGAACACAGAGCAGAGCTGCCCCCTAACCCTTTGGCAGCAGTGGAGCTTGTTCACAGACTTCACCTAGGCTGGCACAATAGGGTAGAGACAAGATACTGCTTGTCTCTCTGCAACGACACTAGGTCTGAGACCGTGGGAAGGAAGCTCCCAGCATGGCAGAAAGGATCTCACTCAGCTCTGCCACATCCCCATTTAATGGCCACTTGTCCCTGCAGTGACGAGGAAAGGAATTCCAAGGACATACAGCAAAGAAGCAAGTGATCCTCTCTGTCTGCAAAGCAAAAGGGAACTTCAAACAGAGTTAACTTTGGGCATGAGCCGCATGACCAGCACCATATGCTCAGGGACACCACAGCAGCACCATCTCACACTGTGCCAGGGATGAACACCCAGCAGAGGTGCAGCACAGGGATGCAACCAGCACCTAGGCACAGGCTGATCCCAAATGCTCCTATTTAGCCCAAGGGCTTGAAGGAGCATCTTCCACACATGCTGGCAACAAGTGGGGCCGAGGTGGCACCAGCTCTGCACCCAAAGCTGCCCACGGTTGTTTGGCTGAGCCCAAAGACAGTGTAGGGGAAGTCATACTGATTTGGAAACCGCCCACAGCCATCCCTGCTGGCAAGACTGCAACAAACCTGGTTGATGTGTTTCAGCTTGTCAATGATCTGGCTGATCACTGGCTCAGGACCTTTCATCTTCCCCTCGTGGTTTCCAGGCTGAGCTTTTGCTCCATTCCTTGGGATTTGGGGACTGTACCTGCAGGAGTGAGAACAAAGAAGACTGTGATCCAATGGGCTAACACAGAAAAGATCCTCAGAGATCAATACAAACAAAACTAAGTACCAGTCCCTTCAAAAATGGAGAGAATAAAACAGTTAATAATGACACAGAAAAGGCAGAAGTTTCCCATTAATATCTGTTCTGCCTTTGCAAAGAAACAAGATGATGTACTTACATCTTTTGAGGACAATGAACTCCTTTCCAGTCCATTAGTAACCAAGGAAGACATTAAACAATATACAACGGGGATAAATATTATCACATAACTTGCACCCAAGAGTCCTAAGAGAGCTGGCTGAGAAATTCTGGCTTGCTCATGTTTGTTTAAAATAAGTCTTGGCAGACCACAGAGACTCCAGTACAAGAGTGGTAGTGTGCCCACAGCCAAAAAAAATGAGTGGGATGACCCAGTTAGCTGCAAGCTGATTAGCATAACATCAACCCCTTGCAAAATAATGACTATCGCTGATGTGTGATTTCAATAATAAAGAATTAAAACGTCAGAATATAATTAATGCTGTCAACATCGCTAATGGAAAATAGGTGTTGTCAAACAAAACTGATTTCAGTCTTTGATGAGATCCAGCCTTGGGGATCAAAGTAACTGCTTAGGCAGAACGTAACCTGACTTGGTGCAGTGCTGGGCTCCGCACCACACAATATCCTGGATTTACATGAGCGTAATGCATGCCAGTAAAGCACACATGAAGCAGATTGAGAGCAGCTGCGAGACCCACAGGTGCAGCCTCCCCTGGCAGGTTGCAGGGATGCTCTGCAGAGCAGCATGGCCAAGCCAGCTCTCAGCTTTTTCATCAGCAATTAGCAAATAAATTGAAATCACAGGAATCAGAGCATGCCTTCCTTTGGAGAAAAGCACTCCAGGTACTAGAGTAACAGCTTGTGACACTTGGAACATGAGGCAAGCATACCTGCACTGACCTCAGCCTGGGCTCCTGGAGCTCAGTAAGAGGCCGGGACCACTCACTGCAGCACACTGGTGCTTTACTAAGCTGTGGGTTGTTTGCATTCCCTGCAGCCCCAGTTACAGGCCCCAGCACTGTACAAACACAAAACAAGCCCTCATCTCCTAGAGCTGACAGCCCAAGCACACGCTGCCAGAACCCAGCGCAGCCTACGAAAGCAAGATTGCCAAGATAACATCAAGCACAGTATGTCTGTTTTCCTGGTGCTGTGGGTAAACCTGAGGAGTGTTTCTATGCCTCATCTCCTGTGTGTTGCATCCCTACCCAGCTTCCAACCACTGTGGTGGTATCTGCCAGCTCCTATGCCATGTGCACGCATTGGTACTTCACCCCGCACTGCCAGGGAAATAATGGACAGTGATTGGAATGAGGGGATGGAGATGGAAGGGATGGATGGGACCAGCTCTGGGAGGGTGCTCTGCTTGGGGGAGAAAGCAGAAGGGACATGGATTACCATCCGTAACAGCTGTTGGGGTACACAGAGGGTTTTGGAGATGCACAAGAGGTCGTCTACACTTAAACTCCAGATTAGTAGCACGAGAGTAAGACTTAGACATCCAGGGATGTGAAGTCAACTCTGGATTTACACTGGTGGAGGAAGAATGAGTCCCCAGCATGTAAAAGAACAATACAGTCATTGAGTTGTTTGAGTTGGAAGGAACCCTTAAAGGCCACCTAGTCCAACTCCCTTGCAATGAACAGAGACACCCACAGCTCCATCAGGTATTCAGAGCCCCATCCCCAGACCTTGGGTGTCTCCGGGGATGAAGCACCACCCTGGGCAACCTGTGCCAGAGCCTTGCTGCCTTTATTGGAAAAAAACTTCTAATATCTAATCTAAATCTCCTCTCTTTCAGTTTGAAATCGTTTCCTCTTGTCCTATTACAACAGACCCTGCTACAGAGCCTGTCCCCTCCCTTCTTACAGCCCCTTTACCTTTAGATACTGACAACTGCTACTGGGTCTCCCCAACAAACTCTCTTATCCAGGTTGAAATATTCACATCATTTAAAAACACAGTGCTGAAGTTGATTTCCACACCAACCAAAGCTTTTTCCAAGCAGGAGTTACCCATACACGAGCACCCAGCATCCCCATCAGCATCCCGCTGCACCAAGCGCCCCCCTCACACCGGAGCAAGCACCAAGTACAGATACACCCAAGACATAATAGCTGCCAGCTCAGGAAGGCATTTCCCCACTCAGTCAGAGGTTTCTTCCTGGCTGAGAGCTCACAGCCCCCGGCCAAAAGCCAGCTGGGACCACGTGCTCTGAGCTCCATCTCGTGGGAAGCCAGCGCTGCAGCAAGCGCAGAGCAGCCCTGCAGAAGTGCATTTAACCCCCTGCAGGGGAACAAAACACTGGAAGCAGCGAACCACTCAACCTGCTCCTTATTTGTCTCAGAGTCGCTCCGTGCCACTGTGCCAACCTGAGGAACGCGTCTGGCAGCTGAACACAATCGTCCGTGCTGCACAGGGCTGTCACAGTGCCAAAGGAATTACCGTTTTTCACATTGCTGTGAACTGAATTTAGAAACACTTTAAAGTGGAAAAATCTCCTGTGGTTTAAGCGATTTAACTAGCTGGATAAATCTCCCACAGGTTTTAGTAAGAGCAGAACTGAGCCGCTGTTTGGTGCATACCTGAATTATTACAATCTCTCTCCTAAGAAGCTTTACGCAAAGAAACTCAATAGCTTGGTTTTGAGTGGGTGAAAGCCCTTCTGAAATTCAGGCAGCACTGCCAGAAAGGATTTCTCTACCCACATGAGGTCATATATATAAGGGAAGAAAGCAGCTACAGCAAGGTACCAAGCTTGCAGGAGGAGTGCAGGCTGCTATGCATTCATGCTTGCAGGATGCTGCCAGACCAAGGGTTAAAGACTCTGAGATGCAGTTTCAATGAGAGACAAGCATTCCTGAAATGCCACAAAGGGCAGCTAGCATCTCTCTCTGCAGCCTGGTCCAAGCAGTCAGGCCCCCAAGGACCTTAATGGGACAAGGAGATGCCTTTGGAGACCCCACAGAGCTGGAGGATGAGGGGCTCATAGCACATAGCTCCTCTGTGTGCCGAGTGGGCTCACTTCCTCCATGGTTCCCCAGCCACAGTTAAGGAAAAAAAAAAGAGATTGAGCTATCCTGAGCCACTTCAAACATGTGCCAAAAGCACAGCCCCTTCTGCTTATGAATCTCCATCAACCCCATTGTACACCTCTACCATGGGGACAACAGCACCAGAGAGCAAACACACAGTAGGTAAAGTCCACCCAATGGTTATTGGAGCTGAAGGGATATCAGTGTTGCAATACGAGCATGGTTTGGCTTCCACTTCATAAGCAAAGCTCAAAGTACTCTGTTCTTTGATGTGCCTCCATGTTGGTCAGCAGCAGGCTCCCTGGGGATGGGCTCTTGCTGGGGTCACAGTACTCTCCAAAGACAAATGTCATGTTGCCCTTGCTAAAAACAACTCAAAAGACAACCACCTGATGAAAACATTGATGAGCTCAAGTCTTCTGTAGGGATAACACAGCTAAAGACCCTTTGTTCTCCTTTTCATCCACCAGACAAAAGTGCCAAAGGCTGAAGTCACATTAAGGGATTTCCTCTTTTCCTCCCCACCATCCACAAATGTCTCCTGTGAAAGTTTGGTCATTCCAGCCTAAACGCAGTTCTTTCTTGGCTTTCATTTCAGAGCAAGTTAGACAAGATGACAAATGCAATTTAAATTTATGGCAATAAAAGTAATATGTGCGTTCATCCTTCCTGGCCATGCTAGGATTAGAGATGAGTTACTGCAAAGCCTGACACATGATTTAGAGAAAGTAATCTTCTAAGCCAAAGAATTACACCTTTTAGAAAAAGCTTTTTTTTTCTTTTTTTTTCTTTTTTTTTAAATCCAAGTAGCACTTTATGCTTGCCTTCCACTCGCACAGTACTGACTCAGATGCAACTGAACAATTTACAATCTTTCGCAGGCTCTTCCTCTACTAGATCAGTGCAACACAGACTGCTACAAAACAGCTCAGTGGCCAAATCTTGCCTCTTTGGAGGGCAGGAGCCCTTAAGAGGGCAAATACCAGAAGTCACAGCCAGTTTACACCACCAGTAGCTCTGAGCAAGTTTCTTCAAAAGCAACCAGAAGGATACAGCACTCTCAGCAGGGAGCACTCAGACCTAAATCAGAGAGACATCTTCTGGTGGATTTCCAAATTCCACCTTCCTCCCAGCCCGGTCTCACTGCCATGTGAACCCTCTGAGGTTTTGCTGCAATATTTCCCTGCCAAAGAGCAACGCTGCCTCTTCCAGCTCACTCTACACGCTGCACTGCAGGCGGTGAGCGTGCTGCAAATATTAGCTTTTATTAAAAGTTGAAGTCGCAGGTATGAACAGCGAACACTGCATTATTCACTGCCAAACAACGGGAGTTTGAAGCGTAAAAGGACAGCCTGAATCCTCCCTCCATTCTTACATCAGTTCAGTAAAGTTCAAGACAAATAGATTCTGGAAGGATTGGTTAAACTTAAGACCAAGCAGCAGGCTTAATATAGGAAGATTCATGGTCTTCATTTCTGGAATACTCTGGAAACAATTATGGCCACTCAATAACCCACTGAATTTGCCTACTATCCTTTCATTATAGCTTACATTTGCTACAAAGCTGTGTTTTATGTGCTTGAAAAGTTATACAGCCTCCCTCTTTGGGGACTCCATTGTATCAGATATTTTGCAGCGCTGCCAGAAATAACCAAACCCTTCATGAGCTAAAGGGTTATTGCTGGCATGGAATTTCCTTTGTTCCAATTACAGAATCTCATTTTTCTCCCTTGCTTCCAATTGTGCTTTCGTTGTTTATGATTTGTATGATTAAAACAAACCACAGCACGCTGGCAAAAAAAGGGAAATCTGAGACTCCTAGCTTGAAGAAGAGGATCTGGCAAGGTGCTAAAAATATATTAATTTGGAATTGGTATAAGGAGAACAAGAGTTATGCGGGTGATTTAGATTAACACACGAGTTTGTCTGAAGCAATTTGGAAATGGTAATATCTAACAGAAATACTTAAAGCACTTACAAGTTCTGCAGCAGGCACATGTTGCTGTCATTCTATTCAGAACAGCTTGGGAGGAATATACAGCGTAAGCAGATTATTAAACTCTGAGAATCTAGATTTTAACAGGCTTTTAGTATTAAACGCTGTAAAAACTTAGTGCTATATATAAAGCTCAAATCATCTCCGAGATTCTAACTCCCATAGAAACTGAGACGAGTTCAATATCTCAGCACCCACTTGGCTTAAGTTGAAGGCTTTACATGAGCCAATTATCCAGCCAGGGCATCAGCTGTGGGAATCACAGCACGGGATGTTTTTTGCACACTGAAAAGTTTGAAAAACTGTAGCTCGTTGCCTTTTCTCTTTTTCTTCCCACTTTGGCTTGTGTTCAGCACAGCAAAATCACAGGCACTGCTCAGGGCATGAGCAGGGAAATCTGCTGTCCTCATACAGCTAGCAAAGCATTCCTTCTGCTAGGCCACGGCATCACATCTTAAAACCCCAAAAGAGAAAGTTAGCAAGCTAGTAACCCACAGATCAATCAGGAAGGAGGACAAATTCTTGCTATTAAGTTAGCTTAAGTTATTTAAGAAGTAAACGGGACGGACAAAGGACTACAAAATAAAACAACATAAAAGAAAATGTGGGAAACATTTCTTAAAGAAAAGCTAAAATACAGAAAGCAAGGTGAGTGGTGCTGAGCCATCAGTGGAGCCCACGGCACCTGGAGTACCTAAAGGCACATGCCTTTGGAGGAGGAAACAGGGTGGTTCAGGGCTTAGCTTGGGAAATGGGACACAGCAGGAAGGCACTGAGCATCTCTGGCCCAGGATTTCTCTCTAATTTCATTAACACTTAGGAACTACATCAAGGATATGAGAGGTAAATGGCCACAAGCCCTACGAGAACACCAGCAAAGCCCAGATGGGTCCATGCAGACCTCACTGAGCTCAATGACACAGCAGTGCCTAACCAGCTTTGTCCAACATCTGCACAGCACCAGATACAATAACAGCACACACACATCCATCCCCGTGCTGTTCCAGGCACCTGGAGGGCTCTTGTGTCACACACAAACCCCAGAAACTCAGACCCCTCTCTCACATCAGTAACAAACACAGAACAAACTACCATCTCAACAGCCTGAAATTGAAACCAGGGATTCAAAAAGCACCACATTTCTCATGAAAAGCAGCAAACTGGGCTCTGAATGAGGCCCAGCAGTTGCATGTCAGTCCAGCAGGAGGACGGCTGCAGCTGCACCAGAAATTCAGGCACACCACAGCATTCTCAGTGCCGCTTGCAAAATCACTTCTATGAGGTGAACAGCTGCTTGGCTCCCTCTGGGGGAAAAGGCTGAATAAACACACTGGTGGTTGGGGTTACCTGGAATGCACCTGATTTTCAGGAATGCTCTCAGATTCCCTGAAAGGGATCCCCGGCCAGGAAGCCCAAGCACACGGAGCACTGTTTTGGCAGCCTCAGCTCCACGTGAAGCAACACTATTGGCTAAGGTTGCAATCTTAGATGTTCAAATAATTCTTTTAAAAATACGTTTTGATGCTATTTTGGTCCCTTCAGTGTTTCAGGCCAGTATTAGAAGTGCAGGCTAATCACCACTGGAGGTCACCGAATCAAGAAGTTCTAATTAATATCTCAACAACTGATTTTATTTCTATTTCTTCCCTTATGCAAATGACTTCATAGCAAAAGATGCTTTGCAAAGTAGAGTTATTAAAGAAAAATTAAATATAATTATTAAAAAAAAAAAACTTCCAAGTTCTATTTCCACATTTACATTCCTAAGAAACAATTTTTGCAAGAAAATGCTCCAATTTTATTAATATTCCCCTCCTCCATTTTATGCTATTAATCCCACTCTTGTCTTTTCTGTTATCACCATCACAGCAAATGCAGCCTGCTTGTGCCCCTCCATGTACCCACCCCATAACCTCTGTGCATGGCCGTGCTGAGCTGCTGCCTCTCCCCTCCCTCTGGCTCACTGAAACAAAACCTGCCTGTGGCTGCAGGGATTTCACAGCAGAGCACAGAAAGCTCAGTGGAGGGTGGCACACGACTACTTCTCCCCTCCACCCTTTGCACATCAACCTGAGCTGCAATACAAGCAGATGCCAGTTCTGCCAAAGGTTTCTTAAGGCAATAAGCAGTGTCCTGATCTGGATAAGAAATGATGAGTAGTGCTGGGGAAAGGGAAGGAAGAAATGATTCACCTTCCCACGACTTCTTGCCCGTTCCAGCAAATGGTGTCATTCTGAACAGCAGAGCTGTGGTTGCAGATGTACTCTGGCAAGCTGCTGTAAAAATCACTGTGAGACTTCAGCTTCATAATCAGTTCCCTGGAAGAAAGGGGAAAAAAATTGATTCTCAGTCACGAAAAGAAAATACAAGGTTGATGGCACTTAACCAGTGAAGGCAGTCAACATGGCCAAACACAACAAGAGGACAGCAGGGAACAAACAGGCCACAAAGCATCAGTCTTGTTTGTGACCTCAAGCAGCATCGAGCATCATTCTCTGATGATATTCGGTCAAGGTCTGTGCTTTTCAGGGCAGAACTGTCCCGATGGAGGGGATGCAGCAGGGCCTCAGCCCACTGCAGCTCCAGGGTCACCTGGCCCAGGCAGGTCCCTCCCAGCAGTGGTACATAGTGACCAGGGCATGGGTCAACCCCAGGGCTCCAGCAGCAGACAGAAATGGGGCACGGGATGCAGCGGTCCTTGCAGCTTAGGTGTGCAGCTTGCAATGGAAGAGGTGACCTAGGGGCACTCAACAGCTGTCACTAGGAAATGACAGCAGATCTGATTAGGTGAACACTGCACAGAGCGGAGGAATATGAACAGTAGGGAACTGGAGGAGATCAGACTTGGCCTCACAACCCCCTTGCTGCAGTTCAGTACATTCATCTCTCTGGCAATGGGTTATTTCTCGGGCATGCCGTGCTCCCTGCTCCCTTCTCCCAGAGCAGGGATTTGCTGAGGTTCCTGTGAGCTCGGGGTCTCCTCTCCAGCCCAAGCTCCCGGCTGCCAGCTGGGGGCAGACGAAGCAAGGAAAAGCCCAGCGCTGGGTTTTGCAGGCGCAGATGGAAGCAGAAGCAGTGGGAACTCAAACCCCTCCCCGGCCCAGCGCAGCACAGCCTGCCAGCCTACAGCAACCTTCCCCTATCCACGCCCATAAACAAGAGTTTGACTGGGGAACCCAAAGGCCTTACGCAGGCTGGGAGCTCACCTTCCTGCACATATCTTTGGGCAACCACCTCCTGCAGTCACATATTGCACTGAGGAGAGAGGGCCAGCTCCTTACACCAAGCACAACAAAATAGATGGTCTCATTCATTGCCTTATTTCTCAATGAATAAGACAAGGTCTGCTGTCCCACCAACCCTAAGCCAATTCACATCATGTCCAGCTCCTCACATCCTGCATATCCAAGCAGCATCAGGGAGAATAAAAAGAAGAAAGCCTTTCTGCTGCCCAGAGTTCCAAGCAGGGCAGGACGAAGACAGAAGAAACTCCTCCATACCTGCAGGTATAAGCATGTGTGATTTGTTGCAGCAGATCTCATTAGGCTGTGTAGTCCTAAAACAGCATCTCCAACATGTCGAGACAAGGAAGGAATGTGAGTCCTGCTGTTATCTCATGGGAACTATAACTGGAATGTGGCTCTGTTGCTCCAAGCTAGTCCATCCCCAGGTATAAGAAGGGCTGAATTTGCCCTTTCCTGTACAGATTTTTATAGTATTTACAACAGCAGTAAAGGCACAGCACCTGCTTCACTTGGTAATACGCAGTGGAAGGCTGTATATATATCTGAGCTACTGTGAAAGACTGCACAGAATCAAAGTGAAATAAGCCCACTGGCTGCACGTTGCTTTGTGCAAAGTTTTAGCTGACAGCCACCATTTCTACCCAGGGGTATATCTGGCACAACAGCAATGCTCAGCAAGTCAGAAATGGCATTTTGTGCACTTACCTCCTCCTGCTCGACAGCGTTTCTTCCTGCTCTACGCGAGTCACCTTCAGGACTTTTTTGTCAATGAAGAGGTCTTCAGGGTAATTAGTGGATCGATACTGCCTCTGCTGAGCATGACCACAGAGCCGGCTGACCTGGAACATGCAAACACCACAGCATGAGGGAATATCGGGGCCGTGAGTACTGAAGGAAGACAACAAAGATGCACGCTGCTGGGTTAGGAACTTTGTACGCCACTGCCTACCTCCAGCAACCCCGGAGCTCCCAAATCACTCTCAGAATAGATTTAGGACTCTATGTTACTTCTCACTTCACTTACAGTGCCCCACTCCAAGGAGAAAAAAAAAAAATGAAGTGAAATAATTAGCAGAGAACACACTGATGCACTTGATCTCCCTGCAAGCATAGAGCCACTTGAGTCTGATTTTGAGGATTTTTAAAGTTGCCACACATCTTACCCTGGAAGGTGAAGACACCATCCCTACAAGGATGCACACACCCAGTCTGCAGACCAAGGTGATGCCTGATGGACTCCCTCCCATGCACATCCCACTGCCTAAAAACAAACTGTTGCCATAAGGATGCAGCCCAACTCCTGAACGAGCACCCTTCTGTTGAGTTAAACTCACACTGGCAGAAAGATGCTCATGCATCTTTCCTTCCTTCCCCAAATTCGCAGCACCTCAGGGTACCACGCTCCACCTTTCCAGCCAGACTGTTAGGAAACACCTCCCCTCAAAAGGCAGATCCTAAGCCCTCCATTCTGCAGCTCGAAGCAGCTCAGCATCTGCAGAGCTCATGCTGCTGGTACCCAGGGATGAGCATCATACGTATCATTGCTAATTGAAAGAAAATCACAGCCTAAAATACAGCAAGCATTGCAGCTCCAGCTGAGTCATGTCATGGGAGGTCTTGATTAACAGGTAATGACACAAATTAGGTCATTAGCATACAGATGATGATTTGTTAAGTGGCTGCAGTGGCAAGAATCCAAAAGACCTCATTAAAGTTCTCCCACACGGCCATTGCCCCGTGACTCCATGCCAGCTTCACAGCACTGCTGCTGCAATCCCACTGCAGGTGGACCTGTGCCCATCTCCTTCTGCAGGACACTGACAGTGGACAGCTAGACAGCTACCCCACCATGGCACCACCAGGCCAACCCAATGCTAGGAAACGCCCTTCTAAACTGCTTAGAATCATAGAATCACAGAATCACCAGGGTTGGAAAAGACCTTCAAGATCATCCAGTCCAACCATCCACCTGTTACTAATAGCACTCACTAAATCATCATTGAGGTTGGAAAAGACTACCACGATTATCCAGTACAGCTATCAACCCACCAAACCTATCAGTTTTTCTGCAGGACTTGGGCACGCTTGCAGAAAGCTCAGGGACCACAAAGGCACCACAGCCAACATTGATTTCACTTTCCTCAAGCCTCATCCCACCACCCACATCCAGGCTTGGGACCAACCACGTACCTACAATACAATCCCAGCAGCACCTCATTGAGCTCCACATCACAGCACTGCAGCTGCTGAATGGCCCTGAGCAGCACACCGATTAAAAGCACACCCACTGCCCAAAGCTAAGAGCATCTGATGTGCAAGAAGAGATTAATTGCGTTCTATTACATCCTGCATTTGGCTGGGCAAATAAATTACAAATATCACCTGTTTTGTTATCAAGAGTGGCAGTTTTTTTGCTCAGGATGCCATACAGTACAAAGTAAAAGTGAAGCCAAACAGGAAGCCAGGCACTGCAGTTTCTGTTTGTTGCGATAGGACACGGAGAAATGGTTTCAAACTAAAAGATGAGAGACTTAGACTGAAAAAGGAAGAAGTTATTTCCAATAAGAGTAGTGAGGCATTAGCACAGGTTGCCCAAAGATGTGGCAGGTACCCCTGCAGACACCCAAGGTCAGGCTGGGGTCAATGAGGCCAATGAGGCTCTGAGCGCACCAATGGAGCTGTGGGTGTCCCTGCTCAGTGCAGGAGAGTTGGACCAGATAGCCTTTAAGGGCCCCTTCCAACTCAAACAATTCTATGAGGATGTATGAGGTGCTGCACATCTCATCCCAAAAGGTGCCATCTGAGACAGTGGGGGGGTCAGAGATGGGTTCTGCTCCAAACCCTAAAGGGGAAAGACAGGGCATGCAGACACTGAGAGACAGAGGGCACAAAATGAGCAGCAACAAAAGCTCCACCATTGCACCCACATTCTGCACAGGAATGCAAAGCAGAGGAGGGACACGGGAAAAGGTCGGTTATTTTAAGCAGCCATTTGTGATGATTCCCTTTGATTTCCCCCAAACTCTGAAAAGCCTCCCTTCCCCCTTTGAAAGCGGCCTTTCAGCTGGCAAAGCCTATTGAACTCCGAGAGAAGAGCAAGGCCAGGATCAAGGCTTTTTTTTTTTCCAAGGATGCTGAAGCGTGCTGAATGGGAGAGGAGGGCCCAAGTGACAGCGGGAACAATGGCACCATCTGAGGCACCACTTCAAAAAGCAAAGCACCCCGGTGGATGGGGCCACGCAACTCCACTGCGGTTTGGGCTGAGCCCCAGACATGGAACTGGGCAGCACTGGGGCTTTACAGGAGAGTGCAATAGATAGAGCCCCAAATTGCAGCCCTCTCACAAACACAGCCCCAAAACAGGGCAGCAAATGTAGTCTTGGCAAGCACGAAGTTGGGAAGTTTGGGCAGCATGTGCTGCAAGTTCTTACTTAGTTATTTATTCAAGGACCAATTGACCTTCTCAGGAAAAAAAAAAAAACACACCAATGCGCAGCTCATCTTGTGAAGTCGCAGCCAAATGATTGTCACTTTTCAGTCAAAAATCCAGCTGGGATTTGAACATTAAGCAAAGTGAGAGAATGTAGAAGTAACAGATTGCCTGCTCATTTGCAGGGGCAGGATCGTGTGTGCATTGGAGGGGGAAAGGCGTTCACAAGCCATCTGCTGCAGCCTGCTGGGCCACCAGTGGTCCTGGGACAACATCTCAGCAAGTCTGTTTCCATCCTTCCTCTTCTTTGCCTCCCTGCTGCAACTAAAACACACAGACTCTGTTCTCCAAGCTCTTCCCGATCATCATTACTGTTCTAAAGCAAGCTCCAAATTTTAGAGTCCAGAAAATGACAATCTGAGATGCAACAAAGGGACAAATGTGGAAAGCAAAGCACACCCACAGAACGAAGCCAATGGATCTGTGGCTTTGAGTGCTGTCAGAGGCATCATAAACACACACAAATCCTTATTAGAAGTATATTCAGTGCAAGAACGTTGCAGTCTTATTTCATGTCCCAGAACAGGCTGCAGCTTGAAGCATTACGCTACAGAAAATGAATAATAAAATGGCAGAATGAGTTTTAAGCAAAATGGGTTGGGCTTTTTGGTTAGGGCACACAACACAACACCTCCCTCAAATCCCCAAACTTTCACAAGTGCCCAACACCACCAACTACTTCAACAGCCAAAGCTCGGTTTTCCTGCTCCATCTCATTAATAAACTTGCTAATTCCTTGATTTCATTAGCATTCTCCAAGCAAGCACGATGCAGCATGACACTGCCTCCCACTGACCACCACACACCCCCACCTCTGCCCCACAGCCTCAGGGCAGCCCAGCCTAGGTACATCCCCACAGGCAGTGGGCAGCTGTCTCCCACACCCCAGGGGCTGGATAATGGCTCTGCCTGGAAGGGAGCATTGATCTGAGAGGAGCACAGGGAAAACCCTAATGGAGCACCATCTCAGCGCTCCTCCATTAATTTAGAGATGCCAAAGGACTTGACTTGCAATAGACACATGGGAATTACAGAACAGCTTGGGTTGGAAGGGAACTTAAAGTCCCTCTCATTACAACCCCTTCTGTGGGCCGCGTGCCCCCCCACCAGCTCTGGCTGTCCAGGGCTCCATGCAACCCAGCCTTGGGCACCTCTAAGGATGGGGCACCCACAGCTGGGAAGCAGCACACAAGTGATGCCCCACACCAATCTGAGCACCACCTCTAAGAGGTGTGAACATTCTGAAGGTAATTTACTAGAAGCTTTCTGGAAAGGAAAAAAAAAAAGCTCATCAGCTTTCCCTGATGAGAATGCATCAGACAAGCTGGGTACCTGCTGCAGCAGCTTCCCATCCAGACCACAAACCCTACTCCAAAGGACAGCTTTCTTTATTTGACCTTTGCTTAAACTTTAAGGAAAGCTTCCATTTGTCTTCTCTGTGAACTCTTCTGCTTATAGATTCATCCTCCAGGAAGAGACAGTACTTTTTTTTTTCCCCCACCTTTTTCCCCCCCTCCAGGGGATGGCCTCATTTTTAAAGATTTCCTCCTGCAATCTTCTCCACTCTCTGCAGTTCACATATGTCATTTTATACCTATTTCTGAGTTCCCTTCGGGAGAAGCCGCGCATTAAACTGAGAAGCGATTAACTACTGTAAGTGATTTGAACACAGCCTCGGAAAGGGCGATTTGCCACAGTGCGCAGCTTTGCTCAGAACAGACCATCAAAGCCCTGGAAAAAAAACACGCTGCCTTTGGAGAACCCACAAAGCCCTGAGCATCATCTCATGCAGGATCCTCCTTTGGCCACTCATCCTGAGAGCAGCAGAGCAGCTCCGTGCCCTGGCGCTGCCTCCCCTCTCCTTGTGGCTTTTTCACAGCCCGCTCTGCTAAATGTCACACGTATCATTAGCATTATAAACAGGGGATGAAGGCGTTCTTTATCTTCAAAGTCACCATAAAAGTGAACCTGAAGTCTGTTACTCAAACGCTGCGACAGAAATCAGCTTAATTAAATTCTGAAGGGCTTAAAACAAAATATACATTGCAATGATGGGGGATAGAGCATAAACTTTTTAATAGTAGTAACCAAGCCTGTTTGCCATTTCTACAGGTGTAATAAAAATGCTAATATATGTTAATGTTTAGTCTGTGGTTAATGTTTTGTCTTGTTAATTTCCCCAGGGCTTTTATTACTGATTTAAATCTGCCACAGTGCTGGAGTGATTGCATTGCTTCCACGGACTGTGGCCCACTCTCAAACCCATTCCGATTAACAGAAGTGAATAAACATTTAGCTAGGACAAATGTTCTTATTCTATGCTTGTAATCATTATATACATTTTGTCAG